ATGGGAACCATAATTACATATATTTACTTAATATTGATTTAGAATTATCTTTCATAACTACTAAATACTGATTTAGAATCATCTTTGAGCTAATTTGATTGTGTTTGCATGTCACCTTCAGACCAAGCAAAGCTTGTAAATGAGAGATGTTGTAACATCATCAGTTCTTTATTGTTTGTCTGTGTGTACTTAAAAGTTACCATGCTCTTTGCAGGTTATGAAAAGATTAATACACTCGTACTAACTGTGATTGCTCCTAGGATCCTGTCACTCCAGCATGGTGACATTATAACATTGAAATGGTTTAAATCCGTGTCCTATAATGAAAAACACCTAATGGCAATCCATAGACAAGACCAAAGTTTTCCGCAGGTCTGTTACCACCCAGGAATACACTCATGCTAGCTCCTTCAAGGGGTCAAACATGGCTGAGATATACAACGTAATAATTAGTGAATTATAGTTTGAAGGTTGTTTCGAAAAAAACAAATACAAGCCCAACTTATGTTTCAAAGTAAACATTGATATTTTTTACTAGCCTGGGGCATGGGGCTTGGCAATTTAGGCAAACATGTAGATTTTCATGAACTGACCTCACTGACTTCACTGCTGCTGCTGCTGATGATGATAATAATTATAATAAAGAGGAGGAGGAATGTTTGCAGTTATTTTTGTTCCATCTGCAGATTGACCCTTTTGCCTTGTTTTGGTTAGGGTTCAACTTACATATATACACTAAACGCACGGAAAATGTAAAGATCTATTAATTCAAGATAAAATATGTTTTCTATTCTTAATCGTATAATCATGTATACATAGTAATTGATGATATAACAAACTCAAACATATTGTATAATAAGTTCATGTTCAATCTTTTAAAGGTTGACAGAATACCAGTAGCTTGTTTATGTTACCCAGAACTAACATAGTCCTGTATGACCGGGGACATCGCTTATCAGGCAAATCCGGACAGAAACTCTTCAACCTTTACAGTCCAGTTTTGTGATAAGATTATAGATACATTAATTATCATTCCAGTGGCGTATATTTGTTTTGCTATATTGATTTATTAATCCTTCATGTGGGTCACAGAAGTAACATATTTTACATTATTTATTATGACATGAACAACTCATTCCTGTGAGAAGATGTCAAAGAAACGGCTGTGTGTGGCAATCGCTAATATTTTACTGTAAAAAGTTATTATATTAAGGGATGCGCGGATAAACATCATTGTAAAAGGACGTGTCAGGTTTTGTTGGTTGAGGATAACCGGATGACCGGGAAAAAAAACTGATGAAGTACCTGGCGACAGTCACACGTAGACCTCGAACCCGCGACCCATTGTTAGAGGGCTAGTGATTGTAGAGGGCCAGACGCCTTAACCACTCAGTAACCGCGGCCCAGAGGCGGAGGGCTAGTGATCATACACAGTCAGACACATTAGCTACTCGGCCATCGCGACCCTATAGTGGATGGCTAGTGATTATAGATAGTCCGACGCGTTAACCTCTCGACCACCGCGACATAACAGTGGAGGGCTAGTGATTGTAGACAGCCAGACGCTTTAACCTCTCAACCACCGCGACATAATAGTGGAGGGCTAGTGATCGTAGACAGTCAGACGCTTTAACCTCTCAACCACCGCGACATAACATTGGAGGGCTAGTGATTGTAGACAGTCAGACGCGTTAACCTCTCGACCACCGCGCCATAACAGTGGAGGGCTAGTGATTGTAGACAGCCAGACGCTTTAACCTCTCAACCACCGCGACATAACAGTGGAGGGCTAGTGATTGTGGACAGTCAGACGCTTTAACCTCTCAACCACCGCGACATAATAGTGGAGGGCTAGTGATTGTAGACAGTCAGACGCGTTAACCTCTCGACCACCGCGACATAATAGTGGAGGGCTAGTGATCGTAGACAGTCAGACGCTTTAACCTCTCAGCCACCGCGACATAACAGTGGAGGGCTAGTGATTGTGGACAGTCAGACGCTTTAACCTCTCAACCACCGCGACATAATAGTGGAGGGCTAGTGATTGTAGACAGTCAGACGCTTTAACCTCTCGACCACCGCGACATAACAGTGGAGGGCTAGGGATTGTAGACAGTCAGACGCTTTAACCTCTCGACCACCGCGACATAATAGTGGAGGGCTAGTGATTATAGATAGTCCGACGCTTTAAGCAATCGACCACCACGACATAACAGTGGAGGGCTAGTGATTGTAGACAGTACTACGCTTTAACCTCTCGACCACCGCGACCCAATAGGGGATGGCTAGTGATCGTAGAAGGTCAGACGCCTTAACCACTCGGTAAACGCGACCCAATAGTGGAGGGTTAGTGCTTGTAGACAGTCAGACGCCTTAACCACTCGGTAACCGCAACCTAATAGTGGAGGGCTAGTGATTGTAGACAGTCAGACGCCTTAACCAATCGGCCACCGCGACCCAATAGTGTAAGGGCTAGTTCACACGGCCAACGCGATCCAATTGCTGGGGGGCTAGTGATCGTAGATGGTCAGACGCTTTAACCACTCGGTCACCACGGCCCCCGTTTGTCGATATGGTAGTTATAGCTGAACATTTAGTAAACTACCACAGTGCTACAGTTGTAGCGTCATACAAGTAAATATCATTAAGACTCTGTTCCTTTTTCGTTGGTTATTTGGGACCTGTCATTGCACTGACAGAAGGTCATATACGTGGCGTTTACATGGGAGAAGCAAGGGTCACGTGATACATGATAAGCCTTGTGGTTTTGTCTTTAGTTGTTCTACGGTACTCAGAATTGTTCTTCTTTAATCTCAAACTATTTTTGTTCAAGATAAAAGACCGGGTTACGTCAAACTTTATAGAATATCATACAGGAGAAAATTAGTATTCAAGACATAATTGGAAGTTCTTCCAGAGATAAATGTTTAGTTCAAAAATAGTTTAGCTCTACTTTGTAATAACAGCGATAAATTGACGTTATCTTCAATTTCATCAGAACTATGCATAAGTAAACCTTTGCATTGTTGTTTCTCGTGTTTGTGTCAAGTTCAATGTATCAAATATGAAATCAGTATAACATATATTTGATTCGTAATTTATTTTTATAATGTTTTTGAAGCAGGGTTGGTTTCAACAAAAAAATAAGTGTAAATCTGCACATTGCTGTTTACACAAATAGGTGTTATTTGTATTAAATATTGTTCAAATTGTTGTTGACTGAATAAATAAAAAATAAATAAAAATAGAACACGTGGCAGTGTGTTTAGTCTTGTTATAAAGTCTTATCTGTTAAGTGCGGAGTGTTGACTCTATATGCATAATCTTTATACATGTATATGTATTACCCTTAAATAATTATATGTACAAAGTTTAAACATATTTTATTGTACAAATATACAAATGGATCGGACAACAAGTTATTACAACTTAATAGAGTCCTCTCCTCAATACATATGGTAAAAATAGTGTATATGTACATCTACACAAACAAACATAAAATCACCATACCAACTAATTATGTATATACAATTATCAATAATAGACTTGTGGCGAGGTGAATATGTGGTTAAATTAACCTTAGCAAGTGATATTAACCGAGACGAAAAATTTATGGTTATATATATAGACTTGAAAAAGTAATCTTGACGGAAACGAAACTGAGGTTAATATCACTTTTTCAGGTCTATATATTAACAAATAATTAACCGAAAGGAAAGTCTTTAAATGATATAATAGATGCTAAATAATGTTTTTATCATTTAAAGAGATAGAGCGTATGAATATTGAACGGAGGAAAATACTGCATTCGGCAGAAAGCATTGAGACATTAAGAATGAAGTACACACATACAGTTGTTTGTACATTTATAATTTGTTAATTGGTACAGTTTACCAAGAAATGAATTACACTGCATCGTACAGCTGTTCCGTCCTCCTTGGACTCATCAGTGGTGCTAGTGGCCCAAAACGTTGGAGCTAGGAGATGCGTAAAACCCCGTAATACATAAATTTCAAAATGTCGAGGTGAACTGGTTAATTTCAAATGAAATAGTTTGTATATTACCAACCATGCCACTTCTCAAAAGAGATAACTGTGGCCATCATGGTAACGGCAAACCTCGGGGACTGACAAAATCCACCAGCAGAGTCTACCTTCTTGTATCTTGAAAGATGAACGTAACGCACACACAGGATATTGCACCTTTACAATTTTGTAATACATACAGAACGCCAAAAATAAATTACATTGCATCATATCTCGTCAGGAAGAGGACAAGCTGATTGATTTTAGGAACAGTACAACATTTGTCAAACTCTCTGTCACTTAATATTTACGAATGCAATTTCACGGAACGGAATTTCGTCCCGTTGCCAACTTCAGATCTAACGATCGAACACACCTCAAACAAAGTAAATGGAAAAAAGAAGACCTTCTCTTTAATTCAGGGATGGTTCATCCAAGGTGAAGTTCACTGGTACCAAAATACGAATTTTCTTGTTCAGATCTAACTCCAGAACAAATTTTCGCACGAGGCCTTGTTGGTGTGTATAAAAGGAAATAGATTTTAGGGCACGGTGTATCAAAAGGCCAAGGCCATATTTAGTTGAAATAGAATGTTATCCAATTCTTACTTTAGATCAAATATTTTCACGAACTCAAAATTAGTATTTGGGATGCCCTAAAGTTAAGGTATTACTGAACAAACAACGAGGTCGTATTCATTATACAACAAGTTTGTCGTTTGGTAAACTTTATAATAGAGTAATTAGTCTAAGGTGTAGAACCCATATATTAGCATACTATCTGGTGTCGACGCTTCAGGTCCCAATGGTTTGTCGCGAACCGTCTGGAACAAGCAGGATGTGCATTAAAGCTACAATATACACTAGATTGTGCACCTACGGTGTGACACACAAACCAAACTTAACATAAAACTTATCAGCGATCTGCAGAAAAGTAATCACGTGATGCCGTCGGTTCGACAAACGACATTGTCTTATAGGTGCAGCTTACACCGGCACTTTATCTTTTGTGGCGGACCTGGACCGTCAACATGTTGCGAGCAGTATTAGCGGTGTGGTGTGCACTGGGCACATATATGGCCCATGGCGCGGCCACAACTGTAAATCCAAGCAAGTATTTATTTAATGAAATGTATTTTACTTAAGTTGCATCTTTAGAAAGAAACATTTGCAACAAAACGTTGTTAGATTGTCATCTTCTGTTCAACAAAATGTTGGCATTAAAAGGGGATTCGCTAATACATCGAAAATTGGCAGATAAACAATTTCTAACAAACATTTGAAATTAAAGATAAATTGGGGAGAAAAAAACAGCGGCGCTGAGCAAGATGACAAAATATATAAAGCAAGATTCATTTATCGAAGTGTTAATAATATTGATGTGGGTATTTTATTCTTAATTTTCATTTATATATTAGGGAATCTATCGAAGTTTTGCTTAGTAGTGGTAAATAATAGTAATATATCGAAGTGTAACGGTACAAAACATTCCCATTGACTCGCTATATTAGCCATGAAGTAAATATATATTTATTGCGATCAATTAAATGTTCACAAATGTTTATTCAACCTTGGTAATTAGCCGTTATGCCGTCTACTTGCGTGGGTTTTCTCCGGGTCCTCCGGTTTCCTCCCATATTAGATCATCAGCGCGCTAACATATTGGCCAACAAGAGTGATTAACATTAGTTGAAATAAGTTGTTTCATAAGTGTTATAAAACAAATAAATATATATTTTATTCCTTCAAACGATAAATAACAGATACGTACTCCTTATTTTAACAAGATTGAACCATGCTTTTTCGATTTAGTCGATTTACATGACCTTAAACTTCTCAGTTTGCACATAAGCAATATTTGTGGGTTTTTTTTATCTATTTTGCGGTAACCCACTCAAGGTCTTTGATTATAATCCACGGATATTAATCATACATTGATTAACGGGGTCTTCTCACCACTTCGTATCCGAAATAAAAACACAAACACGCAAATATACATTTGCCGTACTAGCCCGTCTTGAATTAGAGAAATATCGCTGTTCTTATTTGTTGTTTATTCACCTTCTTACCTTGCGAAATGCAAATGATTGATATTATTTTCAAATTGGAATGTGTAATTTCAAAATTACAAATGGCTGACAGTATTTCCATGGGGGAAATGCTACATTTCTTAGTTTACCTTGGGAAATGACAAATGATAGACACTATTTCTGACTTTTGGAATGTCACACTTTAAAAACAAGTTACTTTGCGAGAAACAAATGGATGAACTTATTTTCCTATGTGAATGTGTTGCGTATAATGCCTTGAAACACGAAAGTTCTTAATTTCAAGGATGTGATTAATCTTACAATTGTGGGTTTCTTCAATATTGTATTTCAGTGAGATAGCACTATAAAGTCGGCATCAGATCCGCGCTATCACAAGGATGCAAATACACCAACATACCCTGCCTCCAGCACACATACACTCGTGCACGCTTACACAACACACATGGAAGCACGTCCTAAAATCACCTTAGCTGTTGATAAGACATTAAACCATTTACAAGGAATCATAATACATACATTCATTTTGTTTATTTTTCTATATCTCCCAGGTTGTGGAACCGTCCCAGCAGATATCGTGTTTTTACTTGATGCCTCCGGAAGTGTAGGATCTTCAAATTTCCAGAAACAAAAAGATTTTGTGGCTAGATTTGCAAATTCGTTTGATATCGGGCCACAAAACGTGCAGATTGGTATAACAACCTTCTCTACGAGTACTCACAACCAGTTCAACTTGAATAAGTATTCAAGCAAGGCACCATTGGTAAGCGCCATCAACGTCATACCGTATCAGTCGGGAAGCACAATGACTAGCCAAGCTTTGACGTATGTCACCCAGAACAGTTTTACACATGCAGCCGGAGACAGGGACCACGTGGCCAATATTCTGATCGTGATGACGGATGGTCAGTCCAACAACAAGCCCGAAACGATTAATGCCGCCAATAAACTTCACGCCACAAACGTCAAGACGTTCGCCATTGGGATCGGGAGTGGGATTGATCATGGGGAGCTAAATCACATCGCCTCCGACAGCAGCCATGTTTTTACCGTATCAAACTTCGACGCCCTCACCACCCTGCAGGCCGAACTCAAGAAGACGGCATGTGAGAGTAAGTATTGTACCCTTTTGTTTGGTTTGTATGCTCTGGTACGCTAATCATATTTAGGCTTAATTCGAACTGATTTAGGGTTGTCGGGTTGCTCGGTGGCGTTATTAATAACGCACTCGTCTTTCACCAAGGTGGCCGGGTTCGATTCCCCGATCAGCCGTGAAAAGGTATCGGAGTCACCTCACCGGCCACGTGGGTTTTCTCTGGGTATTCCGGTTTCCTCCCACATTAAAACCGCCAGCGCGCTTACATCCAGGCCAACAAATATAACAATGATAAGTTTCGCTACTTCTTCCCCAAAGTAATTTTAATTTAAAAAGGCCTGCAAGAATCAGAAAATCGACTGTCCCATAGTTACTCAAGGTTAAAGGTCAAGGTCACAACGAATTTGTTGTGTTGCCGAAGCTGGGACATATAAATGTTAAGAGCATCTTGAAGTAGTGTGGATATTATGTTTATGATTAAGTAAATATGGTATACGTAGAGAATAATACATGCCTTTTTCCATATCACACCCAGTATTAACCCGAGACTGCAATATCAGCCCAAGGGCCAAAGGCCCGAGGGCTGATATTGGTCGAGGTTTGATACTTGGTGTGATATGGAAAAAGGCGTGTTTTATTCTGTTTATTGCATATTTACTAATAAAAACAAATATCTTATGATTGAATTTTCTTTTTGAAATATTGAAAAACGAAAAAAAATCCAAAAGTGGTGTGATATGGGTTTTGCGGGCTGATACGGGTTTTGGGGTGTGATACGGCGGGGGCTGATACGGGGTTTGGGGGATGATACGGCGAGGGCTGATATGGGGTAGAGCAATTGTGTCGTATCGCATAAACAAAAAACCCGTATTTATCAGTTAGTATGTAATAAATATTATTCATCATATTATTCATCTAGACATATAGATAAAACGTACATAACGAATCATATTTGTTGAATGGGCATTGATTTACTGGGCTGTATTCCTGATTGACAAATCCGGTACATGTAGGTCAATACATTTGTATACAAGCTCTATAAAAAAATCAAGATATAACTGCAGTAATTTGCTTTTTTTACTTCTCCCAAACCATCTCTTACTTGAATTTTCGAAAATTTTATTATTACAGGATTGATTCAATATCAGATGAGGAATTCTTTTCGCGTTAGATGACTTTTGCAAATTTACGTGGTGAGGTGAACTCAAAAATCTTAACTCTACATTAAGGATCCCTGTCCCACTGTAAGGTGTTTTACAGTACCCCCACCCCCTACCCCCACCCCCCTGATTTCCGTTTAAATATAACTGTAGCACAGTTGGGCCAAGACACTTCCGTTGTCCTGGTACCTCGATCGGTTAGAGCGATAGTATATTAATCTGAAGTCCTGGGTTCGAATCCCAGTCTAGCAACGCTGTTTTTTACACTAAAAACACTGTTGTTGGTTATATTTTGGTTTATTTCGTTTTTATCATTTCTCATAAAAGTCCTGCATTAAGCAAAGCTACAATCGTGCCGAAAACACAATTTCCAACACTTCGTTACAGTTTTTGGCAGTAGTACAGGGATCCCTAAATACCTCCCTGCGCGAAAATAGCACACCGCTGAATCCAAACTGTATACAGTATATAGACGTCAGCGAGACGAGACGAGAATGTAGGCTGGTACGAACTGGACAGGAAATAGATATGATAAAGACAAGTGGGACGGGTTATGTCTGGGGATCAAAGGTCAGCTAAAATTGAAGGGCCTACCTCAGAAACACGACATATGGTGTCGTAGGTGTACCAAGGATGTCACGTGACGTACATGTCTAGAGACATACAATGGAAAGCCGTAGGTAATGTTTGATAAGAAAATTAAAAATATTTTAAACGATGACGTGTTGGTTTTTTACAAGGTTCCCCGTAAAATACCGCCACACCTTGTGCTGTCTTCCTTAAGGTGTTGCACCTTTTCTGTTGTTGTAAGTGGAGAGGGGACATGACGTTTTCCCTTTTATTTTGGTGGTTAGTTTTGGTGACTATGAATGGAAAAGAAAGTTATATTAATGACATTACCCAGTAGCTTAAAGTGAAGGGTACCACTGCATCAGTTGTAACCGTAAAGGAGAGTTCCACTCGGAGAGTTTTTTCCCTTATATATACAGGCAACCCAAAACTAGTTGTATTCTGGCTTCAAGTACTTTCTACTATCACGTTTTTCATGGGTTTTTGTGACCCTTAAATTGGACGCTATATCTGAAGTTTTGCAGTTATCAGTTGTGTTGGTTTTTATTTCTATTTTCAAGCAATTCCAATTTCGTACAAATATCATATAAAAACACTTCTTTGAAAAGGACGGAAACAGCTATTTTACAATAGTGACTATGGTAATATTATAGTTTAATTTGTTGGTTTCTCTACTTTAATACTAATATTATTTTAAGGATCCCTGCACCACTGCCAAAAACTATAAAAAAAGTATTGGAAACTGTTTTTTTTCCGGCATGACTATAGCTTTGATAAATCATTTCTGAAAAGAAAACCCGTACCTTCCGGGACTTTTATGAAAAAGATGATAAAGATGAAATTAATTTAATTTAATCAGCAACATTGTTCTGAGTGTGGGGGCTTGACTCAGATCAGAACTTTAGACTGCTAAATTATCGCTCTTATCGACTGAGCCACCTAGTGGACGGTAGTATCTTGGCCCAATTGTTCTACAGTTAAATCTGAACGGAAGTTAAGGGGAGATTACTCTATAGGAAAATCACAATGCAGCGGTAAAGGGATCTTTAAACAAATATATTTCACTATAGTGACACAGGTAATATTTTAGTTTAAGTCGTTGGTACCCTTAACCTTCACACGGATATTATTTTTAATGATCCTGCTATTCAAAGCATGATTATCCGATGAAAATAACCACAAGGAGAGTGAAATTCAATGTATGGTGTCGTCTCTGATCGGATAACAGAGATCAAGGCTGTCACTAGGTTGCTGTTTCACTACTGTAGTGAACGAGAATAATTCTTCATCCACAATAAAGCCTTCAGAAATAAAAACATTATTATATAATTGTCTTGCAAGCTACAGTTATATATATGTGTTTAATTATGTTTAGATGTTTCCCCCACATTTTTAGGTCACCTGAGACAAAGTCTCAAGTGACCTATTGCGATCGCCTTTTGTTCGGCGTCGTGCGTCCGTAAACAATTTACTTTTTCGACTTCTTCTCCAAAACCCCTGAACCAATTTCAATGAAACTTTGCAGAAAATTTTCATGGCCAAATGTCAACTAAAATTGTGAATCATATGATCCCCAGTCCCCAGGGGCCTGAGGGGCGGGCCCAAAAAGGGTCAAATTGACTAAAATTTCAAAAATCTTCTTCTCAAGATCCAGTTTGGTAAAATCAAATACTCCTCATAGATAGAAGGGACCTAAGGTGCTTTACCAAAATTCAGCTGACTGACAGAACCACTATTTGTGCATAGTACATATACTACCCAGATCTTTCACACTACTTTTGCATTACATCTAGTTCAAGTTACCTTTGTTACAAAATGATTTCTTTTTCATTTGGCAACATTGAAAACCTTAGTTTTTACATAAATCAGGTGACCGTTAAGGCCCAAGGGCCTCTTGTACTAACCTCCGTTGGTTGGTTTATTGTTGATCTTCCATTACCACCGAGAATGTAAATTGTGAATAATTTCCAACTTCGTAACTTTTTATAAAACATTACTTAGCCAAGTGGTTGTGCTTTCATAGTTGGTCTTAATCTTATTTTTTAAATTTTTCATTTCACCTTGATTACCTTTCATAATTTTACTTATTTTAATATTTCAGCTGTTGACTTATAAAAGGATTGATTTCTGCTATTTTTACTTTGGTTATTTTGTTTTGATTATGATAAAAAAAATTTTTTTTATGTTTCCCAGAAATCAGTGAATATTATCTCTAAACATGTCTTATTAAAACTTTTATGACATTTTTATTAATCTTCCAGTAGCTTTGCATTAACAATAATGTGTTAGATTTTGACTTGATTTTTTAGTCTGATACTTGTCCTTTGAGGATTACAAAGGAGCGACGCCCGAAAGCCTGTCATTTTTTTTACCGTTACGCGCCCGCTAGATTATTTTGATGTACACCAAAGGACCAAACTAGTCTTCTCGTCTCATCCACAAGGTGTTGCACACTGTGCCTTCAGTTTTGCTATGACATATTCCAGGGGTGTAGAGGGCGAAAGTGAGCGTAACCCCTGGGTATCGTGGATGATCCATACATTAGTTGACATATTGGCTCGCTGTTAAACAGAGTTATAATTTTACATTCTATTGCAAAATCATGTTATCTAATGAAACATCATTGTATGTAATATCCATGCATGAGAGTTAATTATTTCGTTTAAATATAAAGGGTTTTTTATCGAGATATCCTCGCAAACCTCTTCTAATTCTTAAGTAATTTTTTCCTAGCTTTCCGCTATCTTTTTCTTCTGATGAACATTTTATCAATTTATTTATTTGAATTTGAAGACGTTTGTTTGCCTTTAGTATCATTTTGTACAAATATTGCTTATATACTAATCATTTTTGTATTTTCATATTCAAAAGTTTACTTAATACATCTTGCATGTATGGGTATATTTAATTTTTGTTTATTTTTCCTTCCAAATGCACAAAACTTTATTTTTGCAAGTCATTTGCATTTTCGAATATATATGCTTCCGGAAAATGCCGGGAGATCTGAAAGTGCCATCTTATGATACAATAAAGCTTATTTGAAAAACTTAGTGCAACAATTGTTAATGAAATGGAATTCTGGTTTCTTGAATCAAATCCTTGGGACATAAGGTGCAGTAAATTTGAAGACCAGTAATTTATGGGACCCTATTCCGTCTTTTCGTATTGCAGAGTTATCTGCTCTTGAAAGCAGGTATTGATTGTTACGCCATTTGTTTGTGAGAGTAACGTCATCAATTTTTGAGAAAACGACGTAATTTTCTCAAACAAAGCAATGACGTATCAATCAATACCTGCTTACAAGAGAAGATAACTCTGCAATACGCAAAGACGGAATTGCAAGAGGAACAGAATTTGAAAGAAAGTCAAGTTGATGTAAATTTTACGCAGTTGATGGCGGTTGGACAAAATGGGGTTTCTGGAGTCCCTGTTCCAAGACTTGCGCAGGGGGCACCCACTACCAAGAGAGAACGTGTTCTGACCCACCCCCGGCAAATGGCGGGAAAGACTGTACAGGGCCACAACGTCAGACGGGCACGTGTAACACACAGCCGTGCCCGACCACGCCCCCTCCCACTACAACCACTACAGCGAGGACCACGCCCATCCCAACAACACCCTCACCAGGTTGGAAACAATTGATTGATACATATATCAATGTCATACTCAAATATGGATTGTCGTTAATTTTTAAAATTTAAAGAACTAACTGATATAAACATTTGTTTTCTGAAAGTTTTATATTTTGTTTCCAAGATGAGGAATTGTTATTTTAATTGTCCTATTTGAAAGAATGGGGCGTTCACTGTTGAAAAAGAGGTAACAGCCGTTTAAAACAATATAAAAGGCGTTCTACTTGTCGTTGTAAAAAAAATCGTTCAAAAGAAATATCAAAATGAATTAACAATTTCGGTCAAGATTTATAATGGATATTAATAATATATATATATCACAGATTAATAATTTAACATAAGATTTAATTTTATGTGCGATATTTGGGCATCCGATTTTTGCAATCGAATATATATCAAGAAGACAAGAAAAAGATGAAGGAAATGTCAGTTTTTAGAAATAAATTTTATCCATGTGCAGGATGTGGCGTTGTGCCAGCGGACATAGTCTTCATTCTGGACTCGTCAGGGAGTGTCGGGTCGGCCAACTACCAGAAGATGTTAAAATTCGTTGAGAACATAGTCCAGGGGTTTACCATTGGTCCAAATGAAACAGAGGTCTCTGTCGTGACCTTTAGCGACAAGCCTAACCTTGAGTTTCATTTGAACAAATATCACGACAAGCAGTCAATAGTAAACGCTATATCTCACGTCACATACGTGGCTGGAGGGACGAATACGGCCGACGCGCTAAAATATGCCAGGGAGACCAGTTTTACTAATGCAAATGGCAAGCGACCTAACGCTGCCCAAATAGCTATCGTTATTACGGACGGTATGTCTAACAGTGCAGGAGCGACGGCCGCCGAGGCTGCACGACTCAAGGCCAACGGTATCACTGTGTTCTCCGTTGGCGTCGGCTCGGGACCCAAGACGTCCGAGCTAAATGCCATGGCAACGGATCCGGACAACCAGCACGTGTTTGTCGTCACCAATTTCGATGCTTTGAAACAGATTAAAGGGACACTTGCTCAAAAGGCCTGCGAAGGTAAGTTCCCCAAAATCGTTTTTGATGAAGTATGTTCTTAGATTGGTTAAACATCTTAGCAGTGTATATTACTACAGGAGTAAGGTGTATTTATGCAACTGTTAACTTTTTATATATTGAAAAATGTATCAAGTCTTTTTATAACTTATATTAGAAATAAATGATTATGAGCTCATGAGAATTTACAGTTCTTTTACAAGATTTTACGTATCAATTTTTTACCAACATATCAATTGATAATTAATATTTGTTTTTTCCAAAAATTTTAGTGAAGGCGACGTCAACTCCTGCAACACAACCTCAACTAGGTATGATTATCATTATTGCTACAACCGATTTATGTACATTGTATTTATCTTTTTCATTTGTTCTAAATGAAGGCTCAATATGTCATATACTGTACACGTACACATTAGCGCTTCGAGCGTGTCAAATTTTGCGCTAAATTTTTACTGCATAAATATAGGTTTCTGTATACATATACTCTAGTTTCCTATTATAAAAATTGTAAGTGCGCCGATTCATCAATCTTAGTGCTTATCTGTTAAAACTCGGTAATATTCTTAAATATTCTCGAGTCCGCTGAAAGAAGTGTTAATTTAAAAAAATAAAATATTTACGAAAGCTTCACGTTTCATTCTAATTTTGTCCTTGTTTGACAGACTGTGGTGCTCAGGCAGATATAGTTTTCTTACTGGATTCGTCCGGAAGTGTTGGCAGAAGCAATTTCAACAAAATGCTGGATTTCGTTACAAACGTGTCAAATAGCTTCAAGATTGGTCCACACGATGTCCAGATAGGTGTCGATACCTTCCAGACCTCCCATAAGACTGAGTTCACACTTGGCCAGCATTCGCAAAAGGCTGACCTCATTGCCTCTATCAACAAAATTCCTTACCATAGCGGGTCAACGCATACAGGCGAGGCAATTCAATATCTCCATAACACCAGCTTCACGACAGCTGCAGGTAGGTCAAGGTCGATTCAGGTTCATAATTTATATACCTGTATTTTATTTTTTGTTTTTCTTTACAAAGGGTCCGTCAACCTAATGATCATCTTCGCTAGCCAAGGGTTACGATCCGATACGATCCGGTCTTCCTACTCTTCAGGAGAAAAATAGGTAAATCGTACCGGAACGTAACCCTTGGCTAGCGAAGATGCCTACTGAGATGCCATACACGGTTACATGGTAGTCTGAACAGCTCATCAACACACAGGGTCTTAACGGTTAACCAACCAAATGAAGTGTTTTACAGGTTTTAACGGCCCATCAACCTATTAATCTTAACGAATCACGAACCCATTAATCTTCCCGTTTCACCAACCTATTTAAGTGTTTAAAAAGATCATATCATAGTCTTAACAACTCATCAACCCATTAATCTTAACGGTTCACCAACCTATTTAAGTGTTTTACAGGATCAGATGATGGTCTTAACGGTTTACAAACCCATTAATCTTAACGGTTCACCAACCTATTTGAGTGTTTAACAGGATCAGATGATGGTCTTAACGGTTTACAAACCCATTAATCTTAACGGTTCACCAACCTATTGAAGAGTTTTACAGGGTCACATGATGGTCTTCACAGCTCATAAATCTAATGAGCTCACACGATAGTCTTAAATGCTCATCAGTCAACAGTATACATATACTGCCCTTACTGAAGGGATACTTTGTTTCTCCGAGGTTAATCTCGTTTCACGAGGGTGTTATTAAGGAAAGCATGTAGTCTGAACGGCTTGTGAACCTAATAAATTGATAAACATAGTCATCACGCTAGTCTTTAAGGTTCATGAAATTGAACGTAGTGTTCTAGACGATTAAAGATGGATAAAAATAAGCAGAAGACGCTTTTGGACCATCTTCACGATTCAGCAAGGTAGCGAATTGGCGGGTGAACCCTTATCGCCTTTTCCGGTAATGCAGTGAAATACAACGATCAAGATCATTTTCTTTATGAAATCATCATTATGTTTGCCGATAAATATTTTCTTCCTTATGAAAAACAAACTTTCAATATATATTTCTTCTTTTAGTTTATGTTCTAAGGACTCTTTTTTGATAAATTAATTTCAAATCAGATACATGAAATATATTATACACTGCATCTCATTTTCCATAATGTTTCTTTTTAACTTAATGTTATAATTAATATGTTTTTCAAATAACGGATTATTTATGTAAATGGTGCAAAAAATATTTATGATAAAAATCATTGTACTACTTTCATGGAAAAAATATAAAGGAAAAAATAAGAACTTATTTTGAGGAAAGTAAAGTTACTGTGTTTGCAATGTTGGCAAACCCATTGGTTTTGAAAACATGTATATTAGTTAAATTAATTAAATTCACGTTTCCTTCAAAAAGAATGAAACATTTTGCAAATGTTTTATTTTAAAAATGAAATAGAAAGCTTTGATTTCAAATTATCTTTTTGTTAAATGTGTAGAAGGAACGATAAATATAGTTGAGCTAATCCCGGTTACCGAACAAAATCTGGTATACACATAACTCTGTTTAGGTCACAGACCAAACGTCCCAAAGATCGCTATTGTGGTGACTGATGGAAACTCGAACAACGCACGACTGGCCGCAGCACAAGCTGACCTGGCTCGAAAGGACGGAATTAAGATGTTGGCCATTGGCGTCGGTCATGGCATCAACGACGCGGAACTGAAGGCCATCGCCAGTGACCCAGATAGTCAGTACGTATTCAGGGCCGACAACTTCGACGCTCTGGGCAGCATGAAGGGATCGCTCTCTAGCAAGGCTTGTGAAGGTGAGAGTAAATTGATTTCTCTCTGCTTTGTATGTGTTTGACTTATCCGTCGTCGTTGTGTTGTTTTGAAGTAATACGTTATAATTGAAATGAGATAAGTATGAGGAAACCTGTCTGAAAGACAACATAAGGGGGGGGGGGGACACTTCCTGGTGTTAAAACAATACGGGGTACCATTGAGGTGTTATTTATAAAAAGATTATATCATTATAGATAGGTTTTTTGTATTGACTGATATGCTGTCGTTATGGACAGGTGTTCTTTAAAGACAGACTATTATACAAGAAGCATTATTTGGCGTATTCTGAAGGTGGTGTTTATCGACAAGAGTTTTTTCGAGAAAGGTGTTTTAGAAGGGATGTTTTATAGACAGGCGGTCTTTATAGACAGGTGATCGTTACAGTGATATGATCTTTATAAACAGGTATCATTTACAAATATATGGTCTTTACAGACAGATTATTTTCGGTTTATAATGAGATATTTTGTTGTTCATGTTTCAGCCTCCCGACCACTGAACAACACTGCCACAAGTAAGTTACTCGAATGGCAACCATAGATACTCGAATGGCAACCATAGATACTCGAATGGCAACCATAGAAAAAAAGGTCAAATCGAAATTCGTTTTCCGAAATCAATATTCCGTCTTTGCGTATTGCAGAGTTATCTTCTCTTGAGAGCAGGTATTGATTGTTACGTCATTGGTTTGTGTGTGAAAATTACGTCGTTTTCTCAAAAAATGATGACGTTACTCTCAAAAACAAATGACGTAACAATCAATACCTGCTCTCAAGAGAAGATAACTCTGCAATACGCAAAGACGGAATATGGAACGCTCTGGTTATATTGAATTGTATTCTAGTCCCAATTAGTTTATATCTATGTATTTGGATGTAGAATTTTCGGCTCACAGTAAGTAAATATAGAATACTGGACACGAGTTTTGAATAAAGACATTCGACGCAACTTGAATGGAATGTAGATATTCGACACAACAAGGTTTGAACGTAGAACATTCAACTAGATAATATTTGAATGTAAAACATTCGACACAATTAGATTTGAATGTAAAACATTCGAAACAATTAGATTTGAATGTAAAACTTTCGACACAATTAGATTTTAATGTAAAACATTCGACGCAATTAGATTTGAATGTAAAACATTCGACACAATTAGATTTTAATGTAAAACTTTCGACACAATTAGATTTGAATGTAAAACATTCGACACAATTAGATTTGAATAAAGAATATTTGACACAACAATGTTTTAATGTAAAACATTTGACAAAACGAAGTTTGAATGTAGGATAATCGAAATTACGTGGTTTTTTAATCTTTATTTAGTTGTCCCTCTTGATGCCGAAATCGCGCTCACTTGCTCTCAGATAAGCTGAGTTAAAATACATTTCCTTAATGTTAATCAGTTTACCCACTTTCTTATTTCAACATTAATAATTACCTCATTAAATCTTAACTAATTGATCATACATGCATTAACTGTTACATGCTCTTTATTTGATTGGTTCTCATAGAATAAAAACACCTGTTTGTTACATTGTGTTGAGGTACATGAAAGATGGCATCCAATACGTTAAATGACAATTTTGCTTTACATTAGCTAATTCTAATTGTGTTGAGGTCCATGAAAGATGGCATCCAATCCGTTAAATGACAATTTTGCTTCAAATTAGCTAATTTTAATGGTGTTGAGGTACATGAAAAATGGCATCCAATACGTTAAATGGCAATTTTGCTTTACATTAGCTAATTTTAATTGTGTTGAGGCACATGAAAGATGGCATCCAATATGTTAAATGACAATTTAGCTTTACATTAGCTAATTTTAATTGTGTTGAGGTACATGAAAGATGGCATCCAGTACGTTAAATGAAAATTTTGCTTGACATTAGCTAACTTTAATTGTGTTGCAGATTGCCATGCCGGTTCTAAAGCGGACATTATCTTCAATCTTGACTCATCCGGAAGTGTAGGAAAAGCCAACTTTGATCAGATGCTCGAGTTTGTCAAGGGTATGATAAAGAACTTCGACGTCGGATCTGACAAAATCCGGATTGGTTTAGCGACTTTCAGCTCCAGGCCATACATAATGTTTAACCTCGACAAATATGCAGACAAGGCGGCTTTGATGACCGCCCTTGACCACATCCCTTACAAGTCTGGCGGAACAAACACAGGCGATGCTCTGAAGGAGGTTTACAGTAAGATGTTTACGGCGGCCAACGGCGACCGTCCCGGTGTCCCGAACATCGAAATCGTCATTACAGATGGACGCTCAAACAACCATCCAGCAACCGTCAGTGAAGCTACTACATCTAAGAACCGTGGAATAAATGTCTTTTCTGTAGGTGTAGGACGAGGAATTAGTATATCTGAGCTCAATGACATCGCCAGTGACCCGGATAGCACGCATGTAATGACAGTTGACGACTTCAGCAAACTTCAGCAAATCCAAGGAGCATTTGCGTCCCAGACGTGCCAAGGTAATTTGTATGTGATCACATAACTAGTTTACTCAATATATGATATAAGTTGACATGAACATATTAAAGAAATGTATTAAACTTTATATTGATGGATTAAGAAAATTTGGCGTTATAAAGAGGTTTAGTGATTAATTGAGGAAACTATATAAAGGAAGCATAAAGGAAAATAACAACAGAGACTAAGAAAAACATTTTTATTTTGGCGGTAAGCGAGGTGACAAGTGAATCAAGGGACATTATATCGAGGTGTAATGACCTTCAGTGAAGTGGCTTTCATTGAGGAAGTTGAAGAAAGGAATTTGGTTTTATTGATTTTGAGTTTTAATTTTTATATATATAAGACGGGTTGAATTGGCGATATGTTATTGACCAGGACAGCTTATATGACAAAATCTTCTCTTTATTTACCTGATCACGTTATAACCTCTTTGAATGTTTGCATATTGATGTCATTAGTTTAGTTTATTTATCCTTTAACACCATAGAAACCACGAAATACAATGGTAATTGTATATATTTTCAGTTATACCAGCATCCCCGCAAACGAATGTGCCTACCGGTGAGTATTGGAGTTTTAACGTTGTTTTCTTATGCTGCAATCGTGATGTCATCACACGAACTGTATGCAAGTTGTATAATAAAATGCTATAACTACTGTTACTTTCATAAATAAGCTATTGACATTCAACGAAACTTCTTCGATCGATTGGGAAATGTTCGCCGCAGTTTAATTTTCGCCTTTTTTTGCCCTCCCCATTGAGGGCGAATTTATCATAACAGCTAATGCTAGTACACAACACTTAATTTTTGTAGTTTTTATTAACAAAAAAGATACGTAAGTTAGAAAAATTAATAATATTTGTTTCTTTTCAACCCTAGCAGTACCACAACCACTATTTGACCCGTGCGAAGACCGTCTTGGGAACTGCGCCACGTACCAACAGGGTTCTTGTACAGGCGTCTACGAACAGTGGGCAAGGACACAGTGCGCACGAACATGTCATTATTGTACCAGTAAGTGTATGCCCTTCCAACATTGTTCATGTACATGTACGTGTATTTTTGAACCGTCCAATACTGTTCAAGAACCTCTGAACCTGTCATTATTGGTGGAGTTTGTTCGAACCTGTCAATATGTCAATTATGAATATCATATTATCATTTGAATATATATGAACCAATCTTGCCTAGTACTCTGTCCTACTGTAAGTGTTTTCATTTTTGTTTCTAGTGATATTTCATTCACTCGCAGTTGAGCCGAGCTTACTTTTACTCATTCTTTCTCAGTTGTTTTAGAGCGGTATTTTGTCACTTTATCCTTTTTATGGCAAGCTGTAATAAAATGAAGGAATAACGGAATTATTATTATTTTTTGACTTTCAAAATTACATTCATTTCAAGCTAAAATGAACTTTTATTATACATTTGTTCTAATTTTTTAAGCGTAAATGAATACAATTGACAATACAATTCGAACCTGTATATGCTCATTAAACACAGGAACTAACACATTCAGTAAATCGATTATACAATTTTCTATACATTTGTTTCTCCTACACCGTTCATATTTAATCTTGAAAACATTTATATCCCTTGGAATGTATTAAATCTCTTTCCGATGGGTGAAGTTGTTGCCATAAATTATGACCTCACAGTTGAGGATGGAAACGCCAAACATTGTTATGTGACGTCATAAATTAAATATTGACAAATGAAATAACGTCCGGGCTGTGTCCGACTAGTAGATATCAAAACATGCTTACCAAATCCTGGTAGGGTTATCCATCGAGTCGGGAGTGAGAAAACCTAGAGTGGTTCTGGGAGAAAAAATAATTCATGAGTTTCCTGACTACTGTTTCGTTTACTCAAATGCTATATAATTCACCTTGTTTCCCTTAGCCGCCATACCGACGACTCCTCCAGAGTGTGTGGACAAGCTGCCTAATTGTAGGGATTATGACGCTCAAGTGTGCAATTCCTTCGGACCATGGGCTCATGACAATTGCAGGCAGTTCTGTGGATTCTGTCGTAAGTTGAAAAATGGTGGCAGCATATATTAAATCTTAAAGAGGTATCGAAACATAGCACACAGCCGATTTATTGGATTATATTTAAAGCTATAGCATTTAAGATTTTGTTTGTAAACATGTCTCTTTAAGGGGAAATGAATGAATGATGATGTCATCTACAATAGAATAAATATATAGTTAGGTTTTACGTTTTATATCACGTACTGTATACAACGTTTATTTACATGCAGTGTTATTTTCGCGTTTGTAAGGATAATATTTCAAGTTCACTCTGTGCAAAATTACGGTTTCGAGTTCGAGAAAGTCAGGGTTGTAGTAATACCCTTCTAGAAATGTTAACATTCGTGATTGCATTCTTTGATTCACCGTATCGCAAAAAGTACGTTGATAAAATATGTAAACCATGTATACAATATATATAAACCTGGATTCAGAGAATATATATAAGTATTTATTCAGAGTACTGTTCACAGTTGAAATAAACCTGTATAAAGTATATATATATAAAACTTTATTCGAGATATATGAACCTTGAGACAGTAATATATAACTATATATGTAGTATAAAAAGCCATGTATTCAGTTTATATAACCTTATATGTAAAACATTTTATACAATATCTATAAATCTTGATTCAGAAAATACTTAACAATGTAAACAATACATATGGCCCTTTATAAAGTTGATATAACTTTGTATATAGTAGATATATAAAACACTGTATACAGTATCTATAAACGTAGATTTAGAAAATATATAACCATGCATACGGTATAGCCCTTTATCCAGTATATATGAAACATTGTTTGCAGTATATATGAAACTGTGTATGCAGTGTAGATACATCTAGATACAGTGTACATACATATATAACCTTGTATACGGTTTATGTAACATTGCACACAGAAATTTTGAATAGATCAGGTCAAAACCAAGGTGCCATATCTTAATATATATAAATCTAGATACAACCCGACATTTTACGAAGTGTGCGAGCCGCATATCCAGTCAGATTTTGTGGGATAGATTTGTTTAAAACTGTAACGGCGGTTATGTCGTTTTTTCGAAATTATGGTTTCAGCATCAATTTGTACCTTATATTATATATAATTTAACGTTTTATCTGCCATATGACATTTAGATAAAATTATTTCAATTCAAATGACCGGTGTTTAATATACTGCATATAGATATTATCATTGATTTATGCATCTGTTTGTGAAGAAGGACACTTATAGTTTGTGCTGAAAGGATAATTTGTTTTGATTATTAATTAGCATTGACTTATACCAACTTGCATTCATATCATGCCAGCAAATTAATGTATTGATTTTTTAATGTCTTTTTCTTTTTCAGAATTTAATGCAAAGGGAGTGAACGGATATTGTAAGTACTTACGAACAGTTGAACCGAAATTTTGTAATCCGGATTATCGTTTTTCCGAACACAAACAAATTATTATATGCTGTAATGACGGTAAACAGGGAAATCTCAACTCGAGGTATGGTAGGATATCTACTATCTTTGTCGAGGATTTCCCGAGGGTTTTAGACAAATAAAACCTTATCACGAGGGTAGAACTTTTGTATATGCGTCAAACAATTTATTCTATACTCAAACGTTTTACCTATCGAAAGGTTGTTGCCATTTTAAACATGTGAGCTGCAATGGATGTCAAAAATATGTTATTGAATGTTTACAATACATGAAATGACCAGATGTGATGACGCAGTTAGATTGTGATATTGTTACGTTTTCATAATAAACGCACGAATGAGGTGTTCTTACCAACCTAAGTCTCTCATGTACTTTTCGGGTTCTTACCATTTTAATTTGTTAAAATTGATATAATTTCTCAAGGCAGAAAAAGACAGCTGACGTCAATATTTCACGATGGCATCGTATCATTAAACGTCGTTGCTTTTACGATCATTGTTAATGGCATTAAGGATTATGACAGGAATGTGTTATTTTGTAGACGGGAAGTGCTACTATAACGGGAAGTCGTACACACAGGGACAGACCTGGTCCGATGGTTGCGCCTATGACTGTAGGTGTGACGATGCATCTAAAGGCCATTACAGTTGCTACAACAAGTAAGTTAAAAAAGGAACTTGTGCCGTGTTTGGTATCTTTTGCATTTTAGCCATCATAAAGAATCATGCATAGTTTAAATTTCTATTTCAAACTTGTTTTTACAACATCAGTTTAGACCAATTTAGGTATCCCCAAAAATTTCCCAGCAACTGTTTAAGTGTAGACTTATTTTACCAATTAAAAACTTCCAAACCAGGTGTCCCTCCTACTACAACCTTCCTCCACAATGTACCCTCACCCAAACGTCGGGAGAATGCTGTCTTCAACCGGTATGCAACTTCAACCCTAACTACCAGACCACTAGTGGACAGAGCTTGGGGAACATCAACGGGATAAGTACGTATTTTGGATTTATTTGATTACAACACTGAAAATAACATATATTTTTTTCTTTCTTTTTTCTTTGTTTTTTTCCTATTCATTTTCTCGGCCATATGCTTAAACAATAAATATATCAAGTGGAAAAAAAAGTTTATTCATGTCCGATATAAATTCTTTTGAAATCAATTCCCTTCATTTTTTAGACGCGTCTAAAAACTAATGTAAGATTTTATATATCAAATATAAATTCTTTTGAAATCCATCTCTTTGATTGTCATATTTTGTGTTAATCTGTTGAAATTGGCAATAGTCATGCTTTACAGAAGCATATTTACTGATAATTGAAATGTTCTCTGTCCCAGGAAAGCCGTTTATGGTTTTCATAGAGCTATGGCAACTTTTCAACGACTGGTAACGTTTTCGTATTTGTGAAATATCGTTTTCCTGAGTTTGTTTTCTACTTAAGCTAAAGTGCCTGTGCTATAAGTATCTTAAAAGATTACCAACGGTTTTGTTACATATGGACATACGGTAAAATGGCGTCAGTCTTGAGAATAAAGAAATTGTATTACCTGTTCTTCTACTGAAACTGTTCTTCTCAAATGTAAACTTGATAACTTGATACATGAAAACTTCTTATTGCAGGTACGTGCAATTATAAAAGTCACGACTACTTCCAAGGTCAGACGTGGCAGGATGGTTGCCTATATGACTGTCAATGCACCGACGCTGGGGCAGGCATGTACAGCTGTCAATCAAGGTAAGCCACGCCCCAATGTATATTACTGCTCTCAATGTCAGTCTTGAACCTTGATTCTTTAAAATAAATAACTTAATCAAAATAGTAGATATTGTATCGTAGATAACTTCGACTTTCAATTGTATTTTGAATGAATGTACATCTTATGTGAAAATATAGTTTGGAATCAATGATTACACACAACGAAGGATAACTAAATATCAACCATATTGCAGGATAAATAAAATAAACAACCAACGTACAGTGAAACATTGATACGATGACCTTATTTCATCTGACATATCGCCAGGTCAAGCCCCCCCTCACCCTTTCTACTTTCTCCTTTGTACTTATACCTCAGTGTTTCGCCGAACCCCTTTATAATGCAAATTTCACTTCATCAATAATGGCGATATAACGAGGTTTTACTATTAATCAATTTTGGAATATGTTATAATATACGTGATAAACCCTGCAGTGCCTTTCATAGTATCATGTCGTTAAACAAAACAAGACAATTCCGAAGTGACAACGAAACCATCATTCAAACTCAAAATTGATAATTCAAACTCAAAATTGATAATTCAAACTCAAAATTAATAAAGCTAGTACAAAATATGAACAATGTACAGATTTACATGAACATCACTGAAAAATAATACAACGAAAATAAGACAAGGTGTTCCAGAAGGGTAAGATTCTCCTGCTTTACCGAAAACACCCGCCGTATAAATATAGGTCGAATCCAAGTAATGTCATGTCTTCACAGCGAAAACTCTTGTAATGACATCAACACCACAAGGTACTCTCATGAGCATAATCAAAAACATCGACCTTCATATAACACAAAGAAATAGCATATTTCCATGCGAGATCCTGATGGCGACCATACAATTTGTAGTTGTCCATAAAACTATTGGTTGAGTAAACTAGTATGCCTATCTGAATAGTCAATGTTACATGTTCTTCAAATATTATTACTTTTGCAAGGTAACAAATAAAGAACATACTTATCACTACTGTATGGCCCCATCATTTTTTGCAGGAGAGGGTTACTTTATGTTCCGCATGTTGGTCCCGTTCTACACTGTCCTGTCCTGTCCTGTCCCGTCCCTTCCCTTCCAATCGCGTCCAGTTCCAATTAAGATTCATCGCTCCAAACTTACACTTATAACTGTATATGGTCCTAACAGTGACAGACCAGATTTTTATGAAACAGTGGAAAATATTTTAACAGAGTTGGGAAATTTTCAGTTTGTTATATGTGGGGATTTTAACTTAGTTATTGATCCGAAATTAGACTGTGATAATTATCGGCAAATAAATAACCCCAAGGCCAGAGATAAAGTTTTAGGACTTAAACAAGAATTAGGTATGATAGATACTTTTAGAGAATTAAACCCGGATACAAGAAGATACACTTGGCGTAGAAGAAATCCATGTAAACAGGCAAGATTAGACTACATTTTTATATCCGATGGACTGCTCCCAAGTTTAACTGCTTCGTCTATTGAGCCAGGATATCGCTCAGACCATTCCATGTCAGTTATAAGTTTAAGCTTCACCAAATTTCAAAAGGGGAGGGGGTTATGGAAATTCAATAATTCTTTACTTCAAGATTCAGAATATTTAAATACCATTAGATCTCTGATTGTTAACATTGAAAAACAGTATGCTGTACCAATTTACAATATGGACAATATTGAAGATGTTTCTTTGCAAGACTTGATGTTTGTAATTAATGATCAACTGTTTTTGGAAACTTTACTGTTAGAAATCAGAAGTAAGACTATTTCATACTCATGCTATAAAAAAAA